ATAAGAATAAATGTTTCTTGAGCAGCAAATCAGCATATTAGAGTGATTTCTGAAGGATCATGTGACACTGAAGACTAAAGGAATGATGCTGAAAATTCAGCTTTGCATCACAGGAATAAATTACATTACAATATAAAACAGTTATTTTAAATTGCAATAATGTTTCACAATATTACAGTTTTGCAGTAGTTTGGATCTAATAAATGCAGCCTTGGAAGACATGAGACTTTTTCAAAAACAAACAAAAAAAAAACCTTCCAACCCCGACCCTTTTGAATGGCAATGTACATCCGCTTACAGCTCTCTTTAACATTTGATCATCATCAAAACTGAGATTGCTCACTATAAATATAAGTTTGCTGATCTGTAAGAGATAAAAATGCCAGTGCTTTATTTTTCCTAGCATGAGTTAAATTCTAATTTTGGTCCATGAAACGGTCTCTCCACAGATCATATATCCATGCAGGGAAAAAGAATGAATAATCACTTGATCTGGTATAAATATATGACCTACCATGCTAGTGTCACACTTCACTTGGAGCACGGAACGAGGAGACACGGAGATAGCTTCAAACCACAGTCTTTTAATAATCCAAACACAATGGGTACGCAGGAGACACAGGAACACATAGATTGACGTTCAGAACCGACAAACACTGACTGAAAGGACTAGGGCTTTTAAACGTTTAGTTTACACTCGAAGTAGATTGGTCTATCGAAGCGATATCCCAATTCGTCGGTCACGACGTGACATCTCCGTTCCCTCCTTCAGGGAACGAGGGTTACCATACGTAACCGAGACGATGTTGTTGACAAGAGGGACACAGTTGTGAAACCTTATAAAATAGTGAAATAGTGCAGCAGTAATGTTTCTTTGAAAGAGACATTTCAGTTTTTCATTTAATCAACCACATGTCCTTTCATATGACTTTTTTTTTTTTTTTTTTTTATCGTAGAACACAAACTGAGACATTTTGAAGAATGGGCTGGTCACTTTTTTTTCCGTGAAATTTGCATTTACAGTGAATGGGAACTACATATAGATAACGTATATTAAATATTATCATTTTAAGTTTTATAAAATACATATATTTTTAATTTACATTTGATAGAATAGATTTCTTAAATGTTATTTATGGTCTCTGATGATTATGGTGTGAGGACAGTTGGATTTCGGGATAGTGAG